GGGTGAGCTCAGCAGGGTGGCTCCGCTGGGGGTGGCGTTGGTGGAAGCCTCGCTCAACCCTGCAGGGGGTGGCCCTGGGGGGGCTGCAGGAAGGCGCTAGTGAAGGGCGCTGCCCGGAGGCTGTGGGGTTTTGTGGGTTTGGTTGTGTCTCCTTGGTAAACTCTCCCCGACGGCTGAGCGTGGGTGACTTTGGTACCGGGGGGGCACTCAGGCAGGGCAGCTCCATCAAGCTGTATTTTCTGGGTGTAGTCTTAAAATATTGCACGAGAGGTCTTCTAGCGTCGGTTTCTCCGTCACGGCATCGCTGGTCTCTTGCAGCGGGAGTCGGCGCATTACTTCGGGTACGTGTACTTCAGGCAAGTCAAGGACAGCTCCATGAAGAGAGGTTATTTTCAGAAGGTGAGTGCTGAAACCAGATCGCTTGCTGCTCGCAGCCGGTACGCGGCTGTGAAAAGGCCCCTGTCCACAGCGGTGGAACAGCACCCCTTCCTACGCGGCACCCACGGCGTTTCTGCGGGAAGCAGCAGGGGTCACGGAGAAGAGGAATATGTGGGAAGTGTCGCTCCAAACAAACCTGGGCGTGGCTGCCGTGGTGCGTTAATCACCCGGGCAGGGACGCGCCGTCTGAATCACGAGGTCCCGGAGCACTCGGGTACTTGCTTCAGCGCGTGCTCCGGTGTCACGGGCAGCGAGAGGACACGCTGCGCTGTTGCAGTCTGTGCTAGGCACACCTTAGCCCTACTCTTGTTATTGCTTTAATCGTTCTCCTTCCTAGCAGCCGTCTGGGAATGGATTTCCCGCTGGGCTGGTTGCCTCTTGCTAGCAGCAGTGACACTGCTGGTGCCTCACCAGCCTTGTCCCTTCCCATCGGTTCCTTTGACACAGCCACTGGAGAAAAGAGTACAAACTGCATGTTCCTGCGGAAATAAACGTGCAAAGTGCTTTGTGGTACTCAGGCAGATAGTTATGGTCACCGCCTGAGAGAGAGTGCGATTTCAGACGACTTCTAGAGAAGGCAAATGTTTTACTGTTACCCTCAGATCCATCTTGCTCCGTGGGTCCACGGAATGACTCTTTCAGTAGTGTTTTTTCCCATCAAAAGGTAAAAGGCCATCCTCTCAACCAGGTAACTGTGCACACTTGCTCTGCGAAGAGCCGCGCTGCAGAGCAGACCAGCCTGGTACCTGCTGACACCCGTCTGTCCCGGCAGTTCCTTGGCCCGCTGTGCTTTCTCTCCTCCACCTCTAGGCAGCGGCACGGAGTCTCTGTCAGAGAGACATGCAAATACAGAAATGAGCTGCTTCATCTCCACGAAAGCAGTGGGTTGTTCACTCCAAAAGCTGGAGGGTTAGAGGAGCTGGACCGCACGGGTCAGGTGTTTATACCAGGCCTGTGTCCTTGCTCTTTGGTAGACGTACAGAAGTAGTGGGCATGTTGGCTTCCTCGGTGAAGTATAGTGTCGTGCTTGGATGGCTTTTTTATTTCAAATGGCAAAGTTTTGGGTTGGAAAGGAGGTATTTCAGTGACTATTGCAGAAATTTTCGCTGGATCCTAATTAATGTGTTCATTAACGATTAGAGGAAGAGAATAACCAGCAGAGTAATGAGTCCCCCCAGTGGGACTGAATTGGAAAAGCTATAAAAAAATAGCAAACTGTTTCACAAAGAAGCCAAACCAACAGCAACAAAAGGCATTGCTGGAAACGACTCCGCGTTATTTCAAGTCACTTTGTTTGTTCTTCCCCAGAATTCCTTTATTTTGTTTATCTGCCTAGTTTCCGTTTCAGGGGTCCGCTCCTTTGCACCTCTCCGTCTGAAATGGTTGTTTTGGTAGCTTTGGACCTATCAGCAGTTTATTTTTAGTTTTGCTCCGGCTGATCTTTTGCTGGGTCACAGTCTCATCCCGCCCAGTTGCGGCGGCTCCCCGGTAGAAGCCGCCTGCTGTGCTTAGTCGTTAAACAACAGACTCCTGGCCTGTGTGGGGACCCAGGGTCTCCCAAAGCCTGAAGGCTCAACGCCGAGCACGCTGGCAAGAATTCCACCACTAAAAGTGCTGCTTTTGAGCTCTTTCATGGTTTTGATGTTGGTTTTCAAGCTTAGCCCTCTAGTAAGCAGTGCTAGAAATGATCGTGTCGGGGGTCCCGGACTCCGAAATGTGCCTTTTTTCAGTCTTTGGTGCTGGTGTCACGCCTTCCGTATGTGAACTTGTTCCAGTCCTTGCTGCAGCTGATTGCTCCGGAGTACTTTGACAAGCTGGAGCCGTGCCTGGAGGCAGGTGAGCAGCCAGATGGAGGAGGGAGGGTTTGCATATTGAAATCTTTCAGAGGTTTTATCAGGAAGTTCTTGAAAGACAGCTGAAATGTTCCACATTAGTTCATTCTGGAACAAATTTCGGCAGGGAAAAACTTTCATCCGTGTGGTTGGCTTGTCAAAATTATAAACAGCTGTAAAAGGTGCCTTAATGGGGAGTGTCTGACAACCTTAATAGATGAGGCTGTCAGTTTTGCACACAGTGTATTCCCAGCGAGAGGGGAAAAACTGCTAATGCTACATCTCTGTCTGGGTCTTCATTGCTCTATTCAACTTAATCATGATTTCTCAACAGTGCAGTGCTGCTGGGCCTGCCCTGGAAACGGTGCTGCAGACGTCGAGTCTGGTGTCCCACCTAAACTTGCACAATTATTTGACGTAGTGTTGGCTCGCAACTGGCCAGGGGGACACGTGAACTAGGAATGAGCGATAGTTAAATTGGCAGAACTTGGAGGACGGGCTGAATTGGCTGTGCTGACCTTCAGATTCACCTTTCTTCTTTACCTGTGTCCCTGCAGTGTGCAATGAGATTGATCAGTGGCCGCCTCCCGTGCCAGGACAGACTCTGAACCTTCCCGTGATGGGAGTTGTCATTCAGGTACTCGGGGCTGGTGATCTGCGCTCGGCAGCAGGCTGAGGCGAACCGGGAAGTGGAACATGTATTCCCTTCCCTTCTGGATGTTCAGCTTGCCCTTTACTCTCGATTCTTTCCCTTTATTCCTAACCTCTGTGCCGTTAGAATTGATAGCCGAGGAAGCTTTCTTGCTTGGATGGTTGTTGGGAAAGCAAGCGGAGTGTGTGTGCGCGCTGACTGATGCCATCTCCCTGGATAATCTGTCTGTTCTCATTTGTAATCCAGGTGAGAATCCCGTCCAGGGTGGACAAGCCAGGATCGAGCCCAGTGAAGCAGTTCAATCAAGAGGTGAGATGAAGCGTGGCCTGACACGAGCCAGCCGTGAGCAGCACCCAGACTCCCAAGGAAGGAGGGTGGAGGAGAACTGGAATTCTTCCAGCCCTGTCCTGCCTGGAACCGCTTTGGCCTGGGATTGGTGTGGTTTGAGCTGCCCGGCTGGTTCCAACCGCGCGCTCTCTTGCCCGGGTCTTTCAGAACAGGACTCTCTGCGCGGAAGCTGCGTGCTTCGAGCCGTGTCTGTGCGTTGTTCTCCCCGCTTGGGTCCGCCTTGTCCTGGGAAGTCGTGCATTGGGAGGTCTCCACGAGACCCGACCTCAGCTTTCTCTGTTGCTTTGCAGCATTTGCTGCCTGGGCATCTTTACTGCTTTTATTGAGCTTTGACCTCGATTCTTGTGCATTTGCTTTTTTCCCTTTTTCTCTCCTTTGACAAATGCTGTCGTATTTCACAACTTTTGGTACCCGTTTTACCAACCCTCATGGTCTTGATCTGTGTCTTAAGCTCAGAGGAAGCTCTAGAAAGTGCAGGCGCAGACACAGGCTGTCTTTCACATCTGGAAAAGAAGAGGTTCTTGGCTATCTTCTAGCGAAGGAAATTTGTTGGGACCTTAATGCTCAATCCAGATCTGTTCCTGGCTCACACCTCCATGCCTTAACCTCGTTCTCTTCTTTTTGTGCTTTGTGATTGATGGGGTCAGTTTAGATGGCGTTTCAGTCAGGATGCTTCCGTTTACTAACAGTTTGGTGTCTGTTTGGTTATTTTTATTTATTTGTTTATTTTTTCTTCCTCGTTTAGAATCTGTTACCAGCCCCACTGGTTCTCCCCAGTATTCACGAACTGGACCTCTTCAGGTGAGAGCTGCCGTCCCTGCAACCCTCTCCGTGCCCTCTGCTTTCCCTGCTCGTAGTATCCTCTAAGTCGTAGGTACAGGGAAGACGTCAGAGGAGGAATCAAAAGCTACCGCTTTGCGGAGCTTGGGCGGTGTTTAAACCCGTGTGCGCTGCCCCGTGTCCTGCCTGGAGGAGGGTTTCTCTCCTTGGCCTCGGCTGGCGATCAGCTGCAGCTCTGACGCGTGCCCATGGCGTGTCTGAACCCAACCTGGCGGCGTTACGCACCCGTGACGGGCGCGAACAGACGGGCATCTGCCGCAGCCCCCGTGCGCTCGGCTTCGCTGGGGTGAAGGGACGCGCTGGGAGCAGCAGGCGCTTTGCGCCGCTTAAAGCCCTTCCTTTACACACGTGTGGAACGGTTGAGCACCCGCGCGTGCGAGGGCCCGGGGCGCTCTGCTGCGGGGCGCTGAAAGCCAAGCGAGATTTCCGGGTCCCAGGCAGACGCGCGCCCGGACGAGGCAATAGCCGTGCCTGGCCTTTCCGACCTGCGTTTCTACCCTCGTTCTGCCTTTCGCTGCCAGGTGTTTCCAGCCAGTGTTAATTCACGTCCAGATGTTGTGGGAGCTGATGTTACTGGGAGAGCCCGTGGTTGTGATGGCCCCCTCCCCTACGGTGTCCTCAGAACTGGTGCTGGCGCTTACCAGGTAATGCCCTCGGCTGCTGGGGTGGGGGTAGCTGTACGAGTAAATCCTGACGGCTGTTCTCCTCCGGACCCGCTCTTCTGCCGAGCCAGTTGCCTTAGGTTTAGTTTCCCTGTGAGAGCTGGTACGACAAACAGCGTAGTCAGGGTCTTGCTTGTCTTCCACTGACGGTAGGGAAGAGCAAAACCGAGTCTCCCGTGTTGGGAGACCTGAGGGTTCATAGCGCTGAGGAACTTGGTCTCCCCAGCTTTGAACTCTGCTTTAGCAAAAGAAAAAAAAAAAAGCAAGCCTGGAACTCCTGCAGAGCGTCACCTCTGGCAGGACGAGACACGGCTCTAGGACATGAACCTGCTGCAGAGACACGTTCCTCCTCTGTGAAGTTCACACGGCGACTGCCCTGTGTTGCAGCTGCCTCGCTCCGCTGCGGTACTGCTGCGACTACCGCCCCTACTTCACTATCCACGACAGCGAGTTCAAGGAGTACACCACCAGGACACAGGCTCCGTGAGTAGCCACTCGACCCTTGCGACCCGCTTGCCGCTGTCTGTGGGAAGGAAACCCTGAGCTTAGCATTGTTCTGCCTTTTTTTTCCCTGCCCCCCCCCCTTCTAGGCCAAACATCGTCGTGGGAGTCACAAACCCGTTCTTTATCAAAACTCTCCAGCACTGGCCACACATTCTTCGGGTTGGGGAGCTCAGGATGTCAGGTAAGGGCGGAACCGAAGTCCTGTCGTGCGGGTAGAGCCTGTTAGAGGCTACGGGCGAGCGGACGGTCGCAGCGCTGGCCTCGGTTCTGCACATCTTTGTTCCTGCGAGAGCTGGGGAACCGAAGGGAAGTCTGGACTCTGACTGAGCTGGTGTGCAGGCTGAGCTCAAACGGTGATGAAGACAAATTGCTGAGAGGATGGCGTGTATGGGTTTATGCTGAGAGGATGGCGTGCTGTGGGTTTATGCTGAAGCATTAAGAAAAAAAGTCCCTGCTGGGCAGGAAGGAGAAAATTGCGTAGAGGAGGAGAGCGCAGTGGAGAGGAGACTCTGATGGTTGCCTATGAAGCCAAGAAGACCTCGAGGTTGAGGAGCGGGGTTTTTGCGATGCCTCCTCAACACATACAAGTTCCAAAATTCTAGCAGGGAAGGGAGCAGAGGGGAAGGCTTATGTGAGGGTGGGGTTAGGGGAGGATATGATTAAAGACGTGCAAGTGTAGGACTGAATGTTCTCGAGAGCGAAGTCTCTCGTGTGCGTGCTGTGGCTGTGAGGGCAGATTAGAGCCTGAACTAGTCGTTTGATGTCTTTCCACAGGAGACCTGCCCAAGCAAGTCAAGGTGAAGAAGTTAGCTAAGCTGAAAACTCTAGACACGAAACCAGGTAGGTCCTTTTATCAGACGTGATTTGATTTTATTTACGCTTCCACGTGGGGGATTTTGCAGGCCTGGCAGGCACGCCAGCGTGGCGCGCGGCATTCTTTGCATCTCAACAAACGGGCGTTTTAGTGTTACCGTCCTCTCCCGCTTGATCCGCTCCACCGTGGTAGCGTCCCCCGTCTAATACAGCAAAGGTGCTCATCTTTGTTCTGAGGTCGGAAAACCCGCTATAAATTAATTGAACAAATTGGTTTAGTGTTGGGAGAACAACTTGTGATTTCCCTGGGTTTATTTTATGTGTCATACCCGCTTTCCGGATGCGGCGGCAGCCGAAGGAACTTGCTTACCTCGACAAGCTGTGCGTCCCTCAACCCGCTGGTCACCTCAGGCCGAGCCTAAGCTGATGCCAGCAGGTTATCTCACCGTAAGCTTAGCATGAGAAGGTCCTTGAGACAGTTCAGTGTCCTTTAATCCTGCTGTGAGTACTGGTTGCCTTAGCAATTGCATAAATTTTTAATTATTTTTTCGCAATTTTTTTTAATTACCCACACACAGCTGCCAGGGTTTGTGCGAGGAGCTTCAGTTCTGTCACCCTGCACCTCCTCTAGATACGTGGGCAAAGATTTATTTCTAACTTCTGCTTTTTTTTCCCTGGCTTTGGTTTTTTTCCTAGGAATCTATACTTCCTATAAAACATTCCTTCACAAAGACAAAACCCTGATAAAACGACTACTGAAGGTGAGCAGTTTCCCCTCTTTCCTACGTCCTGTATGTCATTGTGGGAAAACTGGGCCAACAGCTTGGTTTAAACAGACAAAACTCCCGGGAAGGAGCAGGCTCTTCACAGTGGGTCATGGTTTAGTCAAGTATCCCTGGAGATGTTTATCCTGCCAGTTTTAACGTTTTTCACTGGATATTATGGATTGAATGCGGGTGCTAGTGACAACCTAACGGAGAACAAGCCTTATCCAAAAAAAGAGTCTGGAAAAACAGATTCTACGTAGTGAAATGTGAGTGACATGTTTAACTAGAGAGGGGAATTGTGTTTGGGGCGGGACGGTGCTCCGGCCTGCTCCGGCCCACTCGCTGATAGCCGCAGCGTTTGCCCATCCCGGGCCTGGGAACAGCATCCCGGTGAACGCGCTGCTTGTGCTTGCAGGGGATCCAGCGGAAACGCCCGTCTGAAGTCCAGAGTGCCCTTTTGAGGCGTCACCTCCTGGAGCTGACCCAGAGTTTCATCATTCCCCTGGTGAGATGAGCAGAGGCTTGTCGGAGCGGCGTGAGGGGGAGGGGAGGCGAGCGGGAGGTGCTCGAGTGACAAGTTGGCGCTCGCCCTCCTTTATTCACCCCTACCCGAGCATCTCTAGTCGATTCAGGACGGGGCACTCTGTGTTTTACTCCGTGGCAAGGAACAAAGTGTCTCTGGAACACACATGTCAGTAGTGAGCAGGTCGGGCACGCGGCACGCCGTGTGTGAGGGCAGAGCACGGGTGGGAGTCGTTACTTGATTGTAATGCCGACTCTCTGCTCTTTAAGCAGGTGGTCAGAGCAGACACACGGGGAAGGGACGGGAGCCCAGAACGTTCCTCTTCCCCTCTAATGCTGGGATTGACCCCGTTGCCGGTGCAAAACCCTCCCTTTGGCTTTGGGAAGCTTTGGTGTAGAGCTTGAGGCCCCTCCGCGTGGTGACACCACCCATGGCAGGTTTTAGCAAACGCTTCCCTCCAAGGCCCTCCCTGTCTAGTGTGGCTGGAGAGCTGCTGGTGACCCTCCAGTTGGCCAAGTTTGCCTCCTCCGCTTTCCTACATCACCTTAGGAGGTGGCACGTGGGAGGACGGAGCATCTTCTTGCGTTCTAGTCCCTCCGGCCAACTTCTTCCCGCCCGACCTTTCCTCGCGTGGCGCGCTTAGGATTCTTGTGGCACAGCTCTGTGACCCAGTCCCTGGTGGGAGGCGAGCTGGGACGCTTGGGCTTGTGTCAAACACAACCACGAAGGCAAAAGCCAGAGGGTGTGAGGCTGTCGAGGGGGCCTGTGAAGCACTGGAGAAGACCGACAGGCTCAGTCACCGTGCAGGAGGCGCCTCGATTGTTGTACCTTTTGTTAATTCTATTTTGGTTTTTTATTTCTTCCTAGGAGCATTATATTGCAAGTCTGATGCCTCTGCAGAGGGCCATTACTCCGTGGAAGGTACGTTCAGTTTTCCAGTCGCTTCTGCTTTACTCTGACCACGGGGGCTGGGAATAGGTGCGCCAGATGCTGATCACGTGCCCTCATCCTCTGCGTGAACTTCCCTCGTTGGAGGAAGAGGGTGAGGAAGAGGGTTATTACTTCTTTAAAAAAAAAAAAAAGTTGAAACAAACATTGGGGCAGATGCTTCCTGTTTTGCAGTACGCTCAGCTCAACTCTTGTGCCTCTAATTTGAATGTCACTGGCAAGGCTGGGTAAGGTGTTCGGGCATCTTTTGTTCTTGTAGTTACCAGCTCTGCCTTGTGCAGCCTCTTCCGTGGCAGGTGCAGACCTCACCTTCCCCCGGTTTCTTTTGGGTGCCGTGTAACCGGGTCTTTCTGTTGTGCAGAATCCTCCCCAAATTCGCCCTTTCCGTCAGGAGGATTTCATGAAGACCCTCGAGCATGCTGGTCCCCAGCTTACCTGTGTGCTGAAGGGCGACTGGTTGGGGCTCTACAGGTAAGAGCTGGGTCGTGACGTGCCTTGTCCCCGTAACAGCTGCTGCGAGTTGTGATGGACGTCAAGTCTGGAATTAGAGCAAAAAGGAGAGTTTCAGGACAGACTGGTGACCTGGAGAACTGATTAACTAGTAACGGTCAGGAGGAGCTCGTGCAGGGCAGAATCAATCCCGTGGTTTCGGGAGGCTCTGAAGTGAGCGGGTGCAGCCGGGTTTAGCGGCTGTCAGCTCTCCCCTTCAGGAGTGCTCACTGCTGGAGAAGAAGGGCCCTCATCTCTGACATCAGCTGCCGTTTGTTGTCCCCCAGGGCACCCTGCTTTCTGAAGTGTCTGCTCCTGCGCAGGTGGGGTGTAAAGACTCGTAGGGCTTCGCCCAGCAGCGTTGGGCGCGGGTGTAGAGCATTGAGGACGAGGGGCATCTCGTTTCTCCTGCCCGAGGGCAGTGCTGTTAGAACACAGAAGGACGCAGCTTCTTCAGGGCAGAATTTAAGAGAGCGTGCAGTTTTCCTACAGGATAATTAGTTATAAATGAGGTGGAGAAGACCCTTAGCACGAAACGAGCAGGAGAAATCCAGAAATCAGGTACCCAGTGGGAAGGAAGGTGGCAGATGTACGGCTATGGAGAAGGGAAAACAGTACCCAGAAAGCGAGCGGAGACAACTGTCCCGGGTCGGGGCGTTGCGTGGCTGGGGTAAAGCTTGTACCATTTTGTGCTTCGATGTGTCCGGCAGAGAACGAGCCGTTCCGCTCCTTGCGGTGCGGGACAGACTTCGGTTTGGGTTTCCAGTCCTTTGAAAGCCAGTAACGAAGGAGCAGCTGTCTCCGTGAATTGGGTGGGGTCTGCAGGCAGCCGATGACCACGCAGAGGCTGACAGGCTCCAGCGTTCCTCGCCGTGTGACGTTCTGTCCGTGTGCTGTGGCTTGTGGTGCTGCGTCAAACCCCCCCGTTGGACAGCGAGTCCGGGTCACAGCGGCACCCTCGGATCTCGGCCGGCTTT